GTTTACCAAAACACACAAAAAAACATTTTATGTTGCCTATTCCCTATTGTAGAAGTTTAAGTTGAATTTTATTTACTGAATGAGATTGATCGGTATTTGGAAACACAGTTGTTTTCTTTACAGAACTACAGAACAGTTATCACCCTTACATTTTCCCCAAAGATAAGTTAAGACGTCCTGTTATGCATTACCAGAAATAAATTATAGCTGTTAAATTTATTTCCATGTGTGTCACTCATCACAGTTCCTGGTAGTTCATGCAGTAAATGGCTGATTCAGGTGTTTAAAAAGTAAAAAGTGCCTTACGCTGGGTCTTAAAAGAATGTCCTGCTTTTTTTCACTCGCACAATCACATCCCTGACTGTTACACCGTTTAACCTGCAAGCTAGCTAGCCTGCTAAAAACACCAAGCTTACATTAGCTACTATTCCCCACCAATTCACAAGCACAAGAGAAAAAGTATTTTGTACTTACATTTAATACCCCTTGAACTCAATGGAAGTTGATTGAAGATGGCATAGTAGTAGTGTTGTTTTAACCAGTCAACTGAACCAACAATCTTTTCACAAAACCGACAAAACCTTGTCAAACTGTCAAAATCCATCAACATTCCGTGCATGAGCTAATTTCTGACATTCTAACTGAAAGTGGGTGATGAATATATATATAAAAAATGATAGAAACATTTTGTTAAACCACTTACAAGTGTTATGTTGACAACACTATTGAAACAATTACTTTTTATTACAATCTTAAATGAATAAATAAGCCATTTGGCCCTGGACTAATAGGGTATTCTATTTGTCCATTCTATTGGCTCTATTCTATTTTGAAGAATTGTGCTGGCTGCACAATTCTAATTTAAGGCTCTCACAAATAAATAGTATGGGTATATTAAACATTTTCTGAGTCATCAGAGTGCCTTGAGTATTGAAGTTGTTGAGTTTTGTGTCCCTGGTGTTCTTTCATGCCACAGGGATAAAAGAAAGCATACAGTTTAGGGAGAAATTGGGAAAAAATGTGTATTATTTCTGGTTTAAAGAAGTCATGTGACCTCTGTGTTTGTCAGACAGATTGATTACTCGGCTTAAATGAAAGCCTAAAAGGTCCTCTTTCCAACGATACCAAGCACGGTATTATAGAAATATTGACAATATCCCTAGCATGAGCCTAAACCAGATATACACCAGATTTCAAAAACGGAATTTATTTTAGGGGGTTAGTAACTTCATGAGCAGAAAAAAAGTGATTTCGCTACCACCCCTGCACTGCTATCGTGATTTTCCTAGTACTAGGGGTGTATACCTTGCCAAAAATCACTATGAGACTTTGTCCCCCCAGATGATACTGATGGACCAAATTTGGCTCATGGACTAATATGGGGAAAACCTGTAACGCCAAAGATGGTGGTTGTATGCACAAGCCCCGCCCCTCCCGCTAGAAAGCGAATCGTCTGCTTTTAACAGTCAAGCCGGGAAACATGTAAGCCTATCGTCTGGTTCCACTGACACATGTGCATGTTGAGGTTTGCGACAGCGGAGACGAGAACCCTTGCGCATGCAAACGTATAACCTGTGGGGAAAAAGACCTTTTAAACCTTATTTTGGGACAAAGTCATCAAACTTTTTCAGCGATTTTTATCAAATTTTACTGCTGTTTCTATACAAGCAGTTTTTATGTCCCGGTGACCAGTGAAAGTGCAGTTCTGACACTCTGCCCATTCATTTAGATAGGAGCCTGGTTTTGTTAGTCCAAAATAGCTGCCCGGAGGCGTTGCCAAGATGGCGGCCGAGTGGCATGACTTGCCTAAAAGGACTTTGTTATTACTAATGTGAAAAACAACTCTATGGTTACTTAACACATCCACTAAAAACCACTTAACACCAGTTGAGCACAAATAATAAAAAGAGAAGTTAGTTCTGAGAAAAGCTCTTACATCGGTTGCTTGCAGATGCCACTTGCTTTGTCACTTTGTCACTAAGTTGTCCAAAAAATGTTGGGGTCACTGCACAAGTTTATTCACTTGCCAGTCACATCTGGCTTTTGATTTTGCTCTCTGTAAAGCTAGTATTTAACTGATTTTTAAAATCAACACGTTTTCAGAAAAGAGAATATTAAACTTCTGGCAGTCGACTTCAGTTCCAGTTTTGCTTAGTTTGTTTTAAAAATGTATTCTGCACCAGGATTTGAAATCGGCCCCCCATAATTACTATAAAATTACACCACTAGACCATCATGACTCACAGTTTTGTAGGAAGAGAGTCAGAACAGTAAGAATGTGTTTCCTTGTAGAGAGATAATATAATGAACTAAACGTTAGTAACCGAATGTCCTTTCTTTTCAGGTTGTCCGCCAAAATGAAGGTGAGTCTTCTTTGTTATAAGGCCTAGATAGTAAGGCATGATAGCATGATGTTTGATAGTGTTTTTGTTTTTAGGCTCAGAATGAGGCAGAAGACATGTATGCTTCTCTTCAACTCTCAGCTCCACCCTCTGAATATGAGACTTTGAACATTAAGAGAGGTGGTGACACACTATAAACAACAAATACACACATTTTATCTCGTCCTTTTGTTTTCTTCTCTCAGTTGTTTTTTCATGAGTTATGCAATGCATGTATTTCCTCATGAAAGACTCGTATAAAAACAACTCATTTCACATGGATCTGATACATTACAAAAGCCCGAAGACCAAGCCTCACTGGCAACAAATATGCATGTTTTTGTCATATTTTATGGAAATCTGTTTAATTGTTTGAAATAAACATATATTTCGTACACATTTGCAATTTGTTTGTCAGAAAAAAAAGGTTTAGATGGCTTGATTTGAGAGATGATGTGTCCCAGTTTCCCTACCTATACTGTGCTGTAAAAGTATGTTCTCTAATTTATTTTATTTTGTTTAAAAAATTAACTTTATATTAGGTGTCTTTGACTACTAAGTACTAACATTTAACTTAATCTTTTGATACAATGCACTTTTTATGTACATGCATGTTTTTACATACTTAAAGGTGGGGTATGTGATATGGAAAACGACCGGCAGATTTTGAAAATATACAATTCAAATGGTCCTACCTTCTTTCCTCCAACGCCGGCTTTGACTCCACCCATTCGAAGAACATGGACACGCAATCATGCACGAGCGAAAACTCAAATGCGCGAGAGATTGTAATGACGATTTACTACTAATCATGGAACCGGATTTACTGACGAGATGCGCATGCGTCACAAACTTTGAGTATGCGCACGACGGGGGTCACGCGCGCTGGGGGGAGGGGGGTGTGGTACAACCGTTTGATTGACGGACTTACTGTCCAATGATTCTGGTGGTCTTGGAAATGATTGGCTGGAGTTTTTCGAGTCCTGCCCGTTCCACAGATGATTAAATTGCTTAATTTTCCTTTCAGTGCTTCTAACTCAGTGGCTGTAAGTGGGTTAGGAATAGGATTTCAAGTTATTTTAAAAAAATGTACACAAAAGAGAATCACATACCCCACCTTTAATAATAAAAAAATACCTGCATGTAATTACAGCTGTAAATAAACCTGTATCCAACCCGTAAAACGTATGAACACTAAGTATATTGTACTTATTTTTTTTATGTAAGTGCAGTATAAGGACACCTAATACAAAGTGTCGCTGAAAAAATAGGCAAGCTTTGGAAAATACCTACCACATCATACCTGTGTTCTGTTGCATAATGTGCATGTGGCCTGTCAATCATATCCTCATATATACATTCTACATTTTATTTAATAAAATGTTCACTAATCAAACAACTCTTTCTATTGGAGAGAAAACATAAACCACATTGTCCTGCAAGTCAAGGGACTTTAATTCTTAGAAATCTTTTTTTTTTTTTTTTTTTTTTTTTTTTTATAAAGATGCATTTAATAGTTAATGTCCAGACATATCTCTTTTGCTACTATGCTATTTGCATCTTTATTAAAGTTCACAATGTTAATATATAAGTTAACATTAAACAAATATTTATTTATTATTAACTCAACCCCAAGTCAGGTATCTTACCATCTGTCTCACACATATACACCATGTTGAAATATATTCTTTACTCGTGTTTGTAGTTCTGAACCAAATTCTCATCCAAAGTGCAATTGATTGTGGGCAATATTAGCCGTTAGACTGTGCACGGACAGCAGAGAACTGAACCTTTTTCCTGAATTCTCCAATGCACTTTTCCACCACAGCTTTATTTGGAAAACATTGCAAGAAGATCCCCAGTCGTGTCTTGATGCCACAGTATTTATGCTTATAAATAAAAGACAGTTTTAGGGGATTCAGTAATGGCTTTAGTTGTTACTTTAGTTGTTTCTGCATAGTAAGTTGGGATAGTAGAAATAATGTAAACGGCCGGTTCATGTCTACATTTCAAATGATTTTAAAAGGCTGCTTCTGATGAGCTGATAAGGCAATGCAGATTCTTTACCACTTAAAAACAATACGCTCTTATATGAATTCTGAGCAGGAAACTGATGGAACTGTCACATTTATGTTTTAATACTGGAAATGACAGCAACTGCATATGTCTTAAAGTTCAAAATCTGAAGTATAATCAGTTTACTAAATTATTGATATGATCTTCCACTTTGTAAAAGGAAGGTACTATTTATTGTTGCTCTGTCTGTGAACAGGATGTATGTTGATGATGATGGAGGAAGTTGTTCACTAGCAGTCAGTCAGTATATTATGTTCACACTGCACAGTTTCACTCAGTCCCAAATCATCGGCAGACGCAACCATACGGAACTTGGTGTCCTTCTGCATTTAGGAAAAACACATTTTTCTTATCTCTGGCAAGTCTTGTACTCTTCTTCTTTTTTAGAGGTTTCTTCAGAAGTATTGTTCTCATTATTGAGCTGCTGGACACTTACAATGAGTTCATACATGATCAAATGTATGACAAAAATGATCGTTTACATTCCTTAGTAAATATATGTTTTCTATGTTTATTTTTGTCACGTTTTGCAGATTTACAAGTGTGTGTTTCCTCACTGGACTGAGCATCTGTTAATGAAGAGATGAACAAGGAAGAGCAAATCATTCTTTTCTCTTTTCTGCTACAAGGTGTGGTTTACTTTCTCTTCACATCTAGTTTTTAAACAACTAAAGTGTGATGTGAAGAGTGTGAATGTCAAGTGCTAAACTGTTATTCTGTCTATGTGTGTTGCTTCAGAGAGTTTACTTGCAGACAATTAAGAACATTTATACAATGTTGAAAAACAGCTCTTTTCTCAAGACTTGAAAAGAAGATTATTACTATTTAAATTAAATTGCAGTGGAATATTTTCTTTCACTGTTGCTTCTGTTCTGCTTATGTTTATACTTTTAACAATGACCCTGTAAAGCAAATTAATGTTTTGTAAAAAAAAAAAAAAAAAAAGAATTTAGTTTTTAGCATTTTGTTTAACATAAAATGTGTTTGTTTTTCTGAATGCTTCAGTGTTTGTTTCTGCTGGTGTCTGGATGCTTTTCATCATGTGTGTGTTATAGGTGTTTGCTGTAGAGATTACAACATCAGTCTGCCGGAGAAGATTGAAGCTCTCAGTGGATCCTGTGTGATTATAAAGTGCACATTTAAGATTGAGGACAAATTTGACAAAAACCTCACTGAGACTGATGCTATAGGACAGTGGTTCAAAGATGGACATGATGTGAATAAGCATCAAGTGTTTACCTCTAGAGTTCCCAATTCTAATCACTTTAAAGGGGCAATAACTGGAAAACTACACGAGAAGAACTGCACAACTATTTTTTATAATGTTAGTTCAAATCATAATGGTAAATATTACTTCAGGATTGAGAGTGGTGATCTGAAATACACCTATGCAAAAAGCGCCTCCACTGTAACTGTCATTGGTGAGTGATTAAAGTATTTTATTAATAAATGAATGTGTTAGATGAATTTTTTTAATGTATTTGTCATGCCATTATTGTCACTTTACTTAATCTTTTATTTGTGTCTTTCAGAGTCTCCCCCCAAACCCACAGTGAAGCTGTATAAGGATCAGGATCAGGAGGAGGTGTTGGAGGGGAGCTCTGTGAGTCTGCGCTGCTCTGCTGAGACTCTCTGCTCCTCTCCTCCACCAACTCTCACATGGAGCTTCACTCCCAGAATCCCCCTCAGTGAGAGCGGCGGACAACAGGAGCTCCTCGTCTCTGATCTGAACTTCACTGCTACTCACCGTCACCACAGAGTCACTTTCACCTGCACTATAACCTACCAGCTACAGGACAAGAACAAAACAGCACAGGACAACATCACACTACATGTTCAGTGTAGGATGTTTTTGTGGCATCAGTTCTTTTCTCCTCCATAAGATGCTAAAAATTTATAATATAATTCTCTCTTTTTCTTTTTCAGATGCCCCTAAAATCTCTCCCTCCTCCAGCTGTAACGGAACTGATGTAACTGTGTGTTTCTGTGAGGGTGATGGGAATCCCTCTCCTGAACTGGAGTGGCATCTGTCTGGACGTCCTGTTAGTAACTCTTCAAACACGTTCATCAGTGAAGAGCGATTGAACAGCACAGGCTTGAGGAGCTCCATCACTCTACATCAGTCACTCTCACACTCATACACTCTGCAGTGTGTCGGTAACAACACTCGTGGCACTGCAAGAGAACTGCTTCTCTCTGTTGCACGTGAGTTTCAGTTCTGTGATTCATCCCATAAAACACACATATGGCCCTGTGCCAAATGGCACACATGTGCACTTGTTGTCTTAACTTACAATGGCCACTGCGTGTGCATGTTTCGGGTGCTTGCGTGCGCCCCTTTGCAGACGATATGCGCCCTTGATGTGCACTTTTGCTGTGTCTGTAAGCTCGCGAGCAGCAGACTTCTCCCGGACAGTCAAAACGGCATTACGCCATGAAAGTGTGGACTGAAGAAGATCTAGGGCTTAGGTTTCTATTTGGAAAAGGGCCTATCTCTACCCATCCCACCCATTCTCCATACTGCTTATCCTCTGTATGATTGTGGGAATTTGAGGATCATTCAACTGATGATTAGTAAATGAAAAAAAAGTCGTAACCGTATCAGTCATTAATGCTAATGCCAATCTCTCACTTTTCATGTCATTCCTATGCTCCAGCCATCATTGTTATTTTATTGTTTAAAGATTCAAATATGACTCTCTAGCCTGTGTTTAACTGAATCAGTGGATCATCACTGGTTTTCCAAACACTCCTTTATTCTTCTTTAGGTTTGAATGTTTCGTCTGTGATGATTGGAGTTGCTGTTGCAGCTGTGCTGGTCATTATGTTCTGTGCCATTACATGTGTCTGTGTACGGTAGGTGAACGACACGTATAAGGTATTAAAAACCGTAGCAGAACAAACATAATAAATTACTTAGAGAGAATAAAAGATAAGAATCACAGAATAGACTCAACATCTGATAATGAGCTGATGGATTTTGTTTTATATAAGCTCACATGCTTTTCTGACATATGGTGCCGATGGTGATTTAGTTATGGGGAGAGAAATATTTAAATACAACTTTATTCCAAGAACAATATCACCTGAAAAAAAAAAAAAAAAACTTAATACCAAAAGTGTACATCTAATGGTTTCAAAAATGTCATGTGACATCAAGTAAAAAGTAATAACATGTTTCCTTATACTAGGAATAGGTTAATTGTAAACCGAATTTAATTGTAACACTTTTTTAAAGCTGCAGTCCGTAGCTTTTTTTGGGTTAAAAATTATCCAAAATACATATTTGAGAAAATACACAACCAGCCAGTGTTCAAAACTATCTGCTTGCCTTAGCTCGATTCAAAACGGTAAGCTTGTAATAATGTTTTTAATTCCAGTGGTACTGGTGGATTTCCTCGGGAGATTCGAGCATGTCTTTGCGTCATTACGTCACATCTGTACACATAAAGAAGGAGTCTCGGCTAGTATAAGCTATATTGCTTGTGAGGATGCTGGAGGTGGAGATTTATAGCCTTTTCTCACAGCACTTAATTAAACATCAATTTGATGGCGGAGTGTTGCCAACTTAGCGACTATATTTAGCGAGTATTCAGACCCCTCTAGCGACACATTTTCAAAAAAGCGACTAGCGACAAATCTAACGACTTTTTGTGGTGTTATTGGGGACTTTTGGAGACTCTCTGACGTGAAAGCACATATCGTTCTTACTCTTCTCAACGAGCAGCGGGTGCTGCCGTGGGTCCCACCCCCGTCCCAAATCACTCACAGGCGGCCCAGTCCTCGCGCAGCAGCCCGTTGCGGAGACAGAGGATCCTGTGCGTGCAGAGTAGGGAGCGTGCCACGTCTTCGACAGTTTCTGATGGACCTCGGGGAAGAACGAAGCAGGCCTGTGACGAGGGGCCTGCTGGCGCCCTGGCAGAAACCAGCCGTCGAGCCGACTCCAAGGAGGCCTATGTGGCGGGCTCTGACGTGTATGACGTGATGAGAGCTTATTGGCGCACACGCTGGAGCCGCCCACACCATTGGATGTGCAGTTGCCGCAGCACAGCCAATGAGTGAGCCAGATACTCACTGTGCTAGCTGTGCAGCTGCAAAATGCGTTTTACATTTTAGGCTTCCGAATTCGAGGAAATGAGTTTCCCCACTGCGTGTAGCTACGATATATGAAGTGGACGTTCTCGAAAGGGAACCCAAAACTACGGCAGAAATACACGGAGCTCAAACGCGACACATGTGCTGCAGCATCTCCACAGCAGTGTGCGTCCATAATAAACCTGACGCTGCACAGACCTTGGACGGCACGCTGCTCATCTCTCTATTTTTACAGCGATTGATTCCTGCCGGTTCCATACTGAGACTGGCACGGCCAGAGACATTTTGGGCACTGCGGCATATTAAATATATTATAAATAGTTTTTACGCGTGAGAAATACAATGTGTGGCGAGAGGGCGTGACAAAAGACCGAAATGAGTGACTGTCACGTGACACTTCAGAGCCATGACTGCACTGTAGAAGTTACTGTTCAGGGATGTGATTCTTCCGGATTAATCCGGAATTCTGGTTATTTCAGCCTAAAATCATGACCCACGTGAATCATGCAGATCAGTAATAAAAATAAAATCGGGGGTGGTGGGGGGTGTTTGGAAGTTTTGGGAAAGTCATTGTAATTTGTTTCAAAATATTTATATAATAGAATATGTTTAAGTGATAATATTAGTTAAACTACAATAATTAACGTTCATTCGATCCATCTGACTACGGCATTTTCATCAGATTTCGTTTTGCAGCGTTGAGCATTTTAACCAATCGCACACGTTTCCGTTGAGTTTATGAGCGTGATGACCAATCAGAGGCGTTCAGATTAGTCATCGCTGAAACGAATAGTTTTGTTCAGTGCGCTGACTGAATTCTTCTGACTTCCATCATAAACAACAAAGTGCAGATTCGATGTAAGAGTTTTGTGCGTGCTTTAACTTGCGCTAGACCCAAGTTATGGACAGCCTCACGATCGTAGCCTACGGCACTAAATTGCTTATTGGATGCACGTAAAAGGTCATTTATACGTAAAAGGTCATTTATGCGTATAAAGAGCACGCAAAGCTTGATTGGTCACATTCTCTCCTCCCTTTCTGTGTACAGTTTATTCCAGTTAATATAATTTATTCATCATGCTGATAAGATTGTGTAGTCTTCATTTTCTAATGCGTAAAAAGCATTAATATAATTTATAAATGGTTCTTAGGTTGTTTTATCTGTGTAGCCAGAATATGATGTGCAGTTTACCAAAACACACAAAAAAACATTTTATGTTGCCTATTCCCTATTGTAGAAGTTTAAGTTGAATTTTATTTACTGAATGAGATTGATCGGTATTTGGAAACACAGTTGTTTTCTTTACAGAACTACAGAACAGTTATCACCCTTACATTTTCCCCAAAGATAAGTTAAGACGTCCTGTTATGCATTACCAGAAATAAATTATAGCTGTTAAATTTATTTCCATGTGTGTCACTCATCACAGTTCCTGGTAGTTCATGCAGTAAATGGCTGATTCAGGTGTTTAAAAAGTAAAAAGTGCCTTACGCTGGGTCTTAAAAGAATGTCCTGCTTTTTTTCACTCGCACAATCACATCCCTGACTGTTACACCGTTTAACCTGCAAGCTAGCTAGCCTGCTAAAAACACCAAGCTTACATTAGCTACTATTCCCCACCAATTCACAAGCACAAGAGAAAAAGTATTTTGTACTTACATTTAATACCCCTTGAACTCAATGGAAGTTGATTGAAGATGGCATAGTAGTAGTGTTGTTTTAACCAGTCAACTGAACCAACAATCTTTTCACAAAACCGACAAAACCTTGTCAAACTGTCAAAATCCATCAACATTCCGTGCATGAGCTAATTTCTGACATTCTAACTGAAAGTGGGTGATGAATATATATATAAAAAATGATAGAAACATTTTGTTAAACCACTTACAAGTGTTATGTTGACAACACTATTGAAACAATTACTTTTTATTACAATCTTAAATGAATAAATAAGCCATTTGGCCCTGGACTAATAGGGTATTCTATTTGTCCATTCTATTGGCTCTATTCTATTTTGAAGAATTGTGCTGGCTGCACAATTCTAATTTAAGGCTCTCACAAATAAATAGTATGGGTATATTAAACATTTTCTGAGTCATCAGAGTGCCTTGAGTATTGAAGTTGTTGAGTTTTGTGTCCCTGGTGTTCTTTCATGCCACAGGGATAAAAGAAAGCATACAGTTTAGGGAGAAATTGGGAAAAAATGTGTATTATTTCTGGTTTAAAGAAGTCATGTGACCTCTGTGTTTGTCAGACAGATTGATTACTCGGCTTAAATGAAAGCCTAAAAGGTCCTCTTTCCAACGATACCAAGCACGGTATTATAGAAATATTGACAATATCCCTAGCATGAGCCTAAACCAGATATACACCAGATTTCAAAAACGGAATTTATTTTAGGGGGTTAGTAACTTCATGAGCAGAAAAAAAGTGATTTCGCTACCACCCCTGCACTGCTATCGTGATTTTCCTAGTACTAGGGGTGTATACCTTGCCAAAAATCACTATGAGACTTTGTCCCCCCAGATGATACTGATGGACCAAATTTGGCTCATGGACTAATATGGGGAAAACCTGTAACGCCAAAGATGGTGGTTGTATGCACAAGCCCCGCCCCTCCCGCTAGAAAGCGAATCGTCTGCTTTTAACAGTCAAGCCGGGAAACATGTAAGCCTATCGTCTGGTTCCACTGACACATGTGCATGTTGAGGTTTGCGACAGCGGAGACGAGAACCCTTGCGCATGCAAACGTATAACCTGTGGGGAAAAAGACCTTTTAAACCTTATTTTGGGACAAAGTCATCAAACTTTTTCAGCGATTTTTATCAAATTTTACTGCTGTTTCTATACAAGCAGTTTTTATGTCCCGGTGACCAGTGAAAGTGCAGTTCTGACACTCTGCCCATTCATTTAGATAGGAGCCTGGTTTTGTTAGTCCAAAATAGCTGCCCGGAGGCGTTGCCAAGATGGCGGCCGAGTGGCATGACTTGCCTAAAAGGACTTTGTTATTACTAATGTGAAAAACAACTCTATGGTTACTTAACACATCCACTAAAAACCACTTAACACCAGTTGAGCACAAATAATAAAAAGAGAAGTTAGTTCTGAGAAAAGCTCTTACATCGGTTGCTTGCAGATGCCACTTGCTTTGTCACTTTGTCACTAAGTTGTCCAAAAAATGTTGGGGTCACTGCACAAGTTTATTCACTTGCCAGTCACATCTGGCTTTTGATTTTGCTCTCTGTAAAGCTAGTATTTAACTGATTTTTAAAATCAACACGTTTTCAGAAAAGAGAATATTAAACTTCTGGCAGTCGACTTCAGTTCCAGTTTTGCTTAGTTTGTTTTAAAAATGTATTCTGCACCAGGATTTGAAATCGGCCCCCCATAATTACTATAAAATTACACCACTAGACCATCATGACTCACAGTTTTGTAGGAAGAGAGTCAGAACAGTAAGAATGTGTTTCCTTGTAGAGAGATAATATAATGAACTAAACGTTAGTAACCGAATGTCCTTTCTTTTCAGGTTGTCCGCCAAAATGAAGGTGAGTCTTCTTTGTTATAAGGCCTAGATAGTAAGGCATGATAGCATGATGTTTGATAGTGTTTTTGTTTTTAGGCTCAGAATGAGGCAGAAGACACGTATGCTTCTCTTCAACTCTCAGCTCCACCCTCTGAATATGAGACTTTGAACATTAAGAGAGGTGGTGACACACTATAAACAACAAATACACACATTTTATCTCGTCCTTTTGTTTTCTTCTCTCAGTTGTTTTTTCATGAGTTATGCAATGCATGTATTTCCTCATGAAAGACTCGTATAAAAACAACTCATTTCACATGGATCTGATACATTACAAAAGCCTGAAGACCAAGCCTCACTGGCAACAAATATGCATGTTTTTGTCATATTTTATGGAAATCTGTTTAATTGTTTGAAATAAACATATATTTCGTACACATTTGCAATTTGTTTGTCAGAAAAAAAAGGTTTAGATGGCTTGATTTGAGAGATGATGTGTCCCAGTTTCCCTACCTATACTGTGCTGTAAAAGTATGTTCTCTAATTTATTTTATTTTGTTAAAAAAATTAACTTTATATTAGGTGTCTTTGACTACTAAGTACTAACATTTAACTTAATCTTTTGATACAATGCACTTTTTATGTACATGCATGTTTTTACATTGTACACTCTAAAAATGCTGGGTTGTTTTAACTAAATTTTGGGTCAAATATGGACAAACCCAAACGTTGGATTAAAAATGCAATTTAAAAATGTAACCCAACGGCTGGGTTTGTCCATATTTGACCCAAAATTGGGTTAAAACAACCCAGCATTTTTTAGAGTGTACTTAAAGGTGGGGTATGTGATATGGAAAACGACCGGCAGATTTTGAAAATATACAATTCAAATGGTCCTACCTTCTTTTCTCCAACGCCGGCTCTGACTCCACCCATTCGAAGAACATCGACACGCAATCATGCACGAGCGAAAACTCAAATGCGCGAGAGATTGTAATGACGATTTACTACTAATCATGGAACCGGATTTACTGACGAGATGCGCATGCGTCACAAACTTTGAGTATGCGCACGACGGGGGTCACGCGCGCTGGGGGGAGGGGGGTGTGGTACAACCGTTTGATTGACGGACTTACTGTCCAATGATTCTGGTGGTCTTGGAAATGATTGGCTGGAGTTTTTCGAGTCCTGCCCGTTCCACAGATGATTAAATTGCTTAATTTTCCTTTCAGTGCTTCTAACTCAGTGGCTGTAAGTGGATTAGGAATAGGATTTCAAGTTATTTTGAAAAAATGTACACAAAAGAGAATCACATACCCCACCTTTAATAAAAAAAAAATACCTGCATGTAATTACAGCTGTAAATAAACCTGTATCCAACCCGTAAAACGTATGAACACTAAGTATATTGTACTTATTTTTTTTATGTAAGTGCAGTATAAGGACACCTAATACAAAGTGTCTCTGAAAAAATAGGCAAGCTTTGGAAAATACCTACCACATCATACCTGTGTTCTGTTGCATAATGTGCATGTGGCCTGTCAATCATATCCTCATATATACATTCTACATTTTATTTAATAAAATGTTCACTAATCAAACAACTCTTTCTATTGGAGAGAAAACATAAACCACATTGTCCTGCAAGTCAAGGGACTTTAATTCTTAGAAATCTGTTTTTTTTTTTTTTTTTTTTTTTTTTTTATAAAGATGCATTTAATAGTTAATGTCCAGACATATCTCTTTTGCTACTATGCTATTTGCATCTTTATTAAAGTTCACAATGTTAATATATAAGTTAACATTAAACAAATATTTATTTATTATTAACTCAACCCCAAGTCAGGTATCTTACCATCTGTCTCACACATATACACCATGTTGAAATATATTCTTTACTCGTGTTTGTAGTTCTGAACCAAATTCTCATCCAAAGTGCAATTGATTGTGGGCAATATTAGCCGTTAGACTGTGCACGGACAGCAGAGAACTGAACCTTTTTCCTGAATTCTCCAATGCACTTTTCCACCACAGCTTTATTTGGAAAACATTGCAAGAAGATCCCCAGTCGTGTCTTGATGCCACAGTATTTATGCTTATAAATAAAAGACAGTTTTAGGGGATTCAGTAATGGCTTTAGTTGTTACTTTAGTTGTTTCTGCATAGTAAGTTGGGATAGTAGAAATAATGTAAACGGCCGGTTCATGTCTACATTTCAAATGATTTTAAAAGGCTGCTTCTGATGAGCTGATAAGGCAATGCAGATTCTTTACCACTTAAAAACAATACGCTCTTATATGAATTCTGAGCAGGAAACTGATGGAACTGTCACATTTATGTTTTAATACTGGAAATGACAGCAACTGCATATGTCTTAAAGTTCAAAATCTGAAGTATAATCAGTTTACTAAATTATTGATATGATCTTCCACTTTGTAAAAGGAAGGTACTATTTATTGTTGCTCTGTCTGTGAACAGGATGTATGTTGATGATGATGGAGGAAGTTGTTCACTAGCAGTCAGTCAGTATATTATGTTCACACTGCACAGTTTCACTCAGTCCCAAATCATCGGCAGACGCAACCATACGGAACTTGGTGTCCTTCTGCATTTAGGAAAAACACATTTTTCTTATCTCTGGCAAGTCTTGTACTCTTCTTCTTTTTTTATAGATTTCTTCAGAAGTATTGTTCTCATTATTGAGCTGCTGGACACTTACAATGAGTTCATACATGATCAAATGTATGACAAAAATGATCGTTTACATTCCTTAGTAAATATATGTTTTCTATGTTTATTTTTGTCACGTTTTGCAGATTTACAAGTGTGTGTTTCCTCACTGGACTGAGCATCTGTTAATGAAGAGATGAACAAGGAAGAGCAAATCATTCTTTTCTCTTTTCTGCTACAAGGTGTGGTTTACTTTCTCTTCACATCTAGTTTTTAAACAACTAAAGTGTGATGTGAAGAGTGTGAATGTCAAGTGCTAGACTGTTATTCTGTCTATGTGTGTTGCTTCAGATAGTTTACTTGCAGACAATTAAGAACATTTATACAATGTTGAAAAACAGCTCTTTCTCAAGACTTGAAAAGAAGATTATTACTATTTAAATTAAATTGCAGTGGAATATTTTCTTTCACTGTTGCTTCTGTTCTGCTTATGTTTATACTTTTAACAATGACCCTGTAAAGCAAATTAATGTTTTGTAAAAAAAAAAAAAAAAAAGAATTTAGTTTTTAGCATTTTGTTTAACATAAAATGTGTTTGTTTTTCTGAATGCTTCAGTGTTTGTTTCTGCTGGTGTCTGAATGCTTTTCATCATGTGTGTGTTATAGGTGTTTGCTGTAGAGATTACAACATCAGTCTGCTGGAGAAGATTGAAGCTCTCAGTGGATCCTGTGTGATTATAAAGTGCACATTTAAGATTGAGGACAAATTTGACAAAAACCTCACTGAGACTGATGCTATAGGACAGTGGTTCAAAGATGGACATGATGTGAATAAGCATCAAGTGTTTACCTCTAGAGTTCCCAATTCTAATCACTTTAAAGGGGCAATAACTGGAAAACTACACGAGAAGAACTGCACAACTATTTTTTATAATGTTAGTTCAAATCATAATGGTAAATATTACTTCAGGATTGAGAGTGGTGATCTGAAATACACCTATGCAAAAAGCGCCTCCACTGTAACTGTCATTGGTGAGTGATTAAAGTCTTTTATTAATAAATGAATGTGTTAGATGAATTTTTTTAATGTATTTGTCATGCCATTATTGTCACTTTACTTAATCTTTTATTTGTGTCTTTCAGAGTCTCCCCCCAAACCCACAGTGAAGCTGTATAAGGATCAGGATCAGGATCAGGAGGAGGTGTTGGAGGGGAGCTCTGTGAGTCTGCGCTGCTCTGCTGAGACTCTCTGCTCCTCTCCTCCACCAACTCTCACATGGAGCTTCACTCCCAGAATCCCCCTCAGTGAGAGCGGCGGACAACAGGAGCTCCTCGTCTCTGATCTGAACTTCACTGCTACTCACCGTCACCACAGAGTCACTTTCACCTGCACTATAACCTACCAGCTACAGGACAAGAACAAAACAGCACAGGACAACATCACATTACATGTTCAGTGTAGGATGTTTTTGTGGCATCAGTTCTTTTCTCCTCCATAAGATGCTAAAAATTTATAATATAATTCTCTCTTTTTCTTTTTCAGATGCCCCTAAAATCTCTCCCTCCTCCAGCTGTAACGGAACTGATGTAACTGTGTGTTTCTGTGAGGGTGATGGGAATCCCTCTCCTGAACTGGAGTGGCATCTGTCTGGACGTCCTGTTAGTAACTCTTCAAACACGTTCATCAGTGAAGAGCGATTGAACAGCACAGGCTTGAGGAGCTCCATCACTCTACATCAGTCACTCTCACACTCATACACTCTGCAGTGTGTCGGTAACAACACTCGTGGCACTGCAAGAGAACTGCTTCTCTCTGTTGCACGTGAGTTTCAGTTCTGTGATTCATCCCATAGAACACACATTTGGCCCTGTGCCAAATGGCACACATGTGCACTTGTTGTCTTAACTTACAATGGCCACTGCGTGTGCATGTTTCAGAAGGGTGCTCGCGTGCGCCCCTTTGCAGACGATATGCGCCCTTGATGTGCACTTTTGCTGTGTCTGTAAGCTCGCGAGCAGCAGACTTCTCCCGGACAGTCAAAACGGCATTACGCCATGAAAGTGTGGACTGAAGAAGATCTAGGGCTTAGGTTTCTATTTGGAAAAGGGCCTATCTCTACCCATCCCACCCATTCTCCATACTGCTTATCCTCTGTATGATTGTGGGAATTTGAGGATCATTCAACTGATGATTAGTAAATGAAAAAAAAGTCGTAACCGTATCAGTCATTAATGCTAATGCCAATCTCTCACTTTTCATGTCATTCCTATGCTCCAGCCATCATTGTTATTTTATTGTTTAAAGATTCAAATATGACTCTCTAGCCTGTGTTTAACTGAATCAGTGGATCATCACTGGTTTTCCAAACACTCCTTTATTCTTCTTTAGGTTTGAATGTTTCGTCTGTGATGATTGGAGTTGCTGTTGCAGCTGTGCTGGTCATTATGTTCTGTGCCATTACATGTGTCTGTGTACGGTAGGTGAACGACACGTATAAGGTATTAAAAACCGTAGCAGAACAAACATAATAAATTACTTAGAGAGAATAAAAGATAAGAATCACAGAATAGACTCAACATCTGATAATGAGCTGATGGATTTTGTTTTATATAAGCTCACATGCTTTTCTGACATATGGTGCCAATGGTGATTTAGTTATGGGGAGAGAAATATTTAAATACAACTTTATTCCAAGAACAATATCACCTGAGAAAAAAAAAAAAAAACTTAATACCAAAAGTGTACATCTAATGGTTTCAAAAATGTCATGTGACATCAAGTAAAAAGTAATAACATGTTTCCTTATACTAGGAATAGGTTAATTGTAAACCGAATTTAATTGTAACACTTTTTTAAAGCTGCAGTCCGTAGCTTTTTTTGGGTTAAAAATGATCCAAAATACATATTTGAGAAAATACACAACCAGCCAGTGTTCAAAACTATCTGCTTGCCTTAGCTCGATTCAAAACGGTAAGCTTGTAATAATGTTTTTAATTCCAGTGGTACTGGTGGATTTCCTCGGGAGATTCGAGCATGTCTTTGCGTCATTACGTCACATCTGTACACATAAAGAAGGAGTCTCGGCTAGTATAAGCTATATTGCTTGTGAGGATGCTGGAGGTGGAGATTTATAGCCTTTTCTCACAGCACTTAATTAAACATCAATTTGATGGCGGAGTGTTGCCAACTTAGCGACTATATTTAGCGAGTATTCAGACCCCTCTAGCGACACATTTTCAAAAAAGCGACTAACGACAAATCTAACGACTTTTTGTGGTGTTATTGGGGACTTTTGGAGACTCTCTGACGTGAAAGCACATATCGTTCTTACTCTTCTCAACGAGCAGCGGGTGCTGCCGTGGGTCCCACCCCCGTCCCAAATCACTCACAGGCGGCCCAGTCCTCGCGCAGCAGCCCCTCCTAGCTGCAGTCAGAGCAGGAGATGTTCACCCCTCCGCGTACAGAGTAGACTGCAAAAGAATCGCGCAAATGAGTCGCTATTTTTAGCGACTTTTCAGACCCCGACTTTGGTTCTCCCTGCCGTCACTCACTCTCTACGTCTACTCTGTTCAGTGAATGGCTGAGAGGAGCAGCAGCACATTCATCTGTTGAGCGCACGGCCGCTGACAGACGTGAATGAGCAGTGTTTTTCCACGGACTTATCACTTATCTGCTTTTCTTTTGTTTTTTATTTAAATAATTTAGTTTCCTTTCTTTTCTTGTGCTTACGGTATGAATTTTTTTTGTCATTCATAGCTAGGCTACTCGTATTGTGTGACAAAAAATATATAGGAAATGAGAACAGCTTTATTTTACATTCGGCTATATTATATTATAATATATTAAATACAGTATGTGAGCTGAGCATTCATTCATACAGAGAAAACACATTAGGCAAGCAGAACGCAAGTACGACGCGATGACGTCACGTAATCTAGCGACATTTAGCGACTTTTAGGCAAGGCAATACCCAGCTAACAAAAAAAGGTCCCCAGAACGTCCCCTAAATGGCCTGTGAGAATGTCCCCCCGAAGGGTCCGCTTGATGTCCTGCGGACCTTCGCGAAGACGTCCTCCGGACGTTCAAGAGGACGTTCCCAGGACCACCAGCGGCCATTCGGGACGTTTATGGGACTTTCACATTTAGTCCCCTGAATATAATTTTATTTAATTTTACTTCTGGCTAACCAAAGAAAACAGACACGGTGTAAGGAACAAAGTAAATTATTTATTGAAACAATTGTAAAGGTGCTATTTCCGTGTGTATGTGTGTGTGTGTGTGTGTCTTCAAATGCGCTGGCAGCTGTGTGTGTGTTTCTCGTCAGCTGTGGGATTAATCCGATGGCAATTCTCCCCCTTTGGCATCTACCTAAAACAACAAAATTAACATATTCAGTAGTATTATGATTTTATATGTCTTTATATCCATATGTGAAATATAACGTTGGTAAATGGTAAATGGACTGCATTTATAACGTTGTCTCATTTCAGCTTAACATATAGCTGCTAACGTTAGCTTCGTAGTGTTACCATAACGGTTATCAGCGGTACATTGCGGACAACTTCAGCAAACGTTTTAAAAGGTAACATTTTCATATAATTTAAAGATGGACAGTGGTTATGGTAACTAATGTATAATAATCTAAAAATTTGAAATACCTTTTAGACAGACGAAACAGAAAACACAAGGCGGCGTCTGAGGAGGACCGTTAACAGGCTTTATGCACAGCTTTACTACTTCCTGAACTTCAGCCAGCCCTTTGTTTCCTGTCTGCCATTATTGGACAAACTGATTAATCCAGGTGTGCCTGATTATTGTTACTGAGGCCAGGCACACCTGTATTAATCAGTTTGTCAAATAATGACAGACAGGAAACAAAGGGCTGGCTGAAGTTCAGGAAGTAGTAAAGCTGTGCATAAAGCCAACTGTCTCACACTACGCAGCTGAGCGTTGCCATGGATACAAACCATAGATTGTGATACAAACCGCGTAACGTTATACCATAAGGAATGACGTCACTCGCTTAGGTGCATTTGATCCTATGATTTGATCGTCACTTGCTTGTTTCTCCAATTTTTTTTGTTGTTATTTGCATCTGCATGTGCTATCACCCAGCAAACATTTGGACGTGTAATGACCGTTGAAAAGACGTCCGTCCGACACGTCCTGTCATGGTTGAAAAATAGTTCCAAAATGAAAGTTGAACCGACGTCTTTGACGTCATCTGGCCGTGAATAGCTTGTTTTCATATGACGTCACGCCACTGCGTTGCCATGGCGCGAAATGCAAATGGAGGGCAGGAAGTGATTTGCTGTATTTAGAAAGCACTATAACAAACTCAAAATGCCTATGTTTTGCGTTGTTTATGGTTACTTAAATCGATCAAACCACGAGGAGTTTTTTATCGTGCACCAAAAGTTGTTGTTCATTAGGGGGGGAAATGCAAGAAATTGACCGAAAAACTCCGGAAAAACGGCTTGCAAACCTACGTCTGCGGTCGGGAGGAGCCGAATGGGAAAATGCCCGTGTGTGCAGCGATCACTCCGTCAAAGGTGACTTAATACAACTTAAGTGGCTGTGTTTGTGTAACGTGTAACGTTTCCGAACTTTGTAAAGTCAAAGTATGTCTGTAAGACGAGGTAGTTGCTGATATCTAAGTTAGCGCCTCGATGGCAGGAAAATCTTTCAATTCAGTTGAAAAATCGCTCCTCTTCATCTCTTCATAACGTAAGGATCACGTCCAACATATGTTTGATTTTTTGTTTATATCTTTCTCTTGTAATAGCGTGTAAAGTAGTACAGTGCGGACTTTCCTCCATCTCGTCCATTGCGCTCTTCACTCCCTGCCCTCCATCTGAATTTCGCGCGTCATCATAATCACGTGACTGAAACCCAGCTATTCCACGTCTCTTCTGGCCGTGAATTCCACGTCTCTTCAGCGCGTCCCTGGACGTCCAAATGCGTCGTCATTTGTGTGTTTAAATGTGTTGCTGCATAATTTAAGTGTATATAAGCCTGCATTTAAAATAATCACACACATATTGTGTAACATAGTGAAAGGCAATCAAGTCTTGAAGTTTACACATCTTGACAAAGGTTCTAAAAAGGTCCAAAATTGGTCCAGTCAGACCTGACCGTCAATAAAACGTTTTAATCACGTGTACATCACAAACAAGAACAAATTATTTGTGGACATAAGAAAAAAAGCAGCATGTTCTGATTTAGCACATTTTATTGATCTTGAACAGCCAAAATGTATCTTAATATTTTTTCAATGTTTAACATTTTGTTAACCAAACTAAAATACCAATTACAAAATACTGAATTATTATATAAAGGGATAGTTCACCCAAAAATGAAAATTCAATGAAGAAAGGTATACAGGTTTGAAACATGAGGTTGAGTAAATGATGACAATTTTCATTTTTGGGGAAACTATCCGTTTAAACACATTGTTTGGCTCAGTTTTTGTATCCACCAGCTGTTCGTGTTTCAGGTGTTCTGCCATTGCTGCATCAATTTCAGAGTCTGTAGCATTTGGGCTCCACCTCTTCACAGCATCTAAGGGAAGAGAATATATATATATATATTTAAATAAATAAAATTATTATTAAATTAAAATTTGAGGTAAATGATATGCACTTATTTTCAAAATATTTTTATGGTCTACAGCTAAAAAAAAAAAAAACATGGAACAAGATGAATGAATCATGAATGACACATTAGAAAAAGGTAATCAACATGCATTACATTTTATTTTATTGTATAAAATATGTTCTGCTTTTATTTTTAAAGCAGTTACTGAAAACATACATGTTAAAATCCAGCTAAACATTTCATTCCATTTCAGATAATTTACTTTCTGAAAGAAACTCTCAAAAGGCTACATTAATAAGTTACAGTAATAACTTTGACTGTATCATTAAACAATATACTTGGTATACCGTTGTTGTATACGTTCAAAGTTACTTTTAGCCTACTGGCTAATTTTAGCCAAACTCAGTAAATTTCAGTTGACAATGTGGGCATCATTTCTTTCTGTTCATTCATGTCACACAAGTAAACCTCAAGCACGTTAATCTAATACAAAATGTACTTACCAAACAGTAGATTTTTAATAATAATATCGACACAACTCCGTCCTCTCCTCGTGGTTGTTCAAAGTTCTAGAATCTATGGGGAGAACCAGAGCCATTAAATATGAGAACGCGTTAACATCTCGCGAGATAATCTATCCTATCGCGGGATTTTGTTGTCTTGGCAGCACAGTTTATGGTTTGCAGACATAATGGTGACCGGGTATATTACTGTTTTTGAATAAAAATACATTACATAAAAAATAACAACGAAAACATCAGGTACAACAGGTTAAAATAATGACTAAAATGCAGTGGCTTTGCAATCACTTGACTATACTGGGCATTTTGTGATTATAATTTATAAAAACAAGATAAAGTAAATATTCATTTGTATATAAATCGTGTATTTTATAAAGAATTATAATTCCTGATAATTTTTTTCTGTCTTGCTAGACTAGACGTGTAAAGGACGCCAGTGGACGTCTTCACAACCTCTTAAAAACTTCATGGGCAATTACATTAATTATTGCAGTATTAACCATGCGAGGATTAAGCGCAGCTTTTGCATATTTAACAAGGATTTCATAGAGGGTCATGATGGACTATAAATGCACGTGGAAAAGACGTCGCCAGGTGACGTCGTCTCACCCGATACACTAACTACACGTTGCTAAAAGTTAAAATAACAATTATACATGCAACTGTAGACATTTACAAATGTATCTGAATGCATTTTTAGGAAATGTTCTGTGTTATATTTTTACCGATTTATGACATCTGGCCGCAACTATTTTTGGCCAGGGACACGACGTTGCCGTCGGACCAATGTTTGCTGTGTTCTTACTTGTTCAGATTACATTTTCCGGTGAAAATTATTATGTTGGTCATACTTCCAAAAAGAATAATCTGTGATTCTGAATGACAGTATCCACACCGACGCGGTGACTGACAGCTGCACACTCTCCTCAAACACTGTGTTCATTCTCGCTGTGCCGTGTCGAGGGTGTTGAAGTACAACTCACGTTAATAATTCCGCGAATAACTGCAATTCGCCTTTCGCCTTTCTTGTAGATTGACCAATCACCAGTGGTGGAGGAAGTACTACAGTGGCTACTTAAGTAAAAGTACAAATAACCAGAGACATATTTACTTTAGTAAAAGTAGAAGTACCATGCACTGTAAACCCTAATGCTCAAAATAATTAATTGGTTTGAGTAGGACAAACTTAAATTAAACAAATTAGTTCAGTCAAATTAACTTTTATAAGGTATTTAGCACTTTCTTTTTCTTTCAAGTTCACTGAACTGATATATTTTAAGTAAACTGAACTGTTTCATTGTTTTGAGTTTTATGAAATTATTTATTTTAATTTAGACGAACTTAAGTTTAACTGAAACAGCTGGGATGTCTATTTCCCAGCATGCTTTGCCGATGGCACTCGAAAGGGAGAGTAAATGCTAAAATTAAGTGTAATATAATGTTTTTTTGTGTGTAAGATTAATGTTATGTGTGAGATTTAGTAGTGATTCATGTTTTGTTATGCTAATTTAGAAGAATTTCTGTTAATGTTGGCTTTAGGATAGTTACCATCATGGTGACAAGTGGTGCATGCAGCTTGATTTGAGAGCAAATACTTCATTTATATTGATGTCCTCATACAGCAAGTGTTTCTGTATAACATACTATTGCTAATATGTTAGCATTTACTATGTTAGCAGATTAGCTTTATAAAGCTAACTAAGTTCATACTAATAAAAGTACTTTGAGTTCTGCCAACTTAATTGGGTTTACAGTGTACTTCATAGATTTAAGTTATATTAACTGAATGGAATTAGTACTATTAACTATATTTACCCAAGTTATCTTAACAATAAGTAATTGAGTTACTTGAACACAAATCAAATCTTTTTTTAAGCTTAAATTGTTTGAGTTAATAAACTTAAATGATTTAAGGCAATCGGTTTCCTCAAACGGTTTGAGTTGAACTAACTCATCAGGTTTAACAGTGGACAACCCATTTAAGTAAAAAGTACCATTTTAAATGTACTTTAAGTATTAAAAGTAAAAGTACTTGCATAACAATTTATTCTATTAATGTCTATATTCTAATGATTAATAAAACAGTTAATTCTAACTCATTCAACCTAATACTCATATAATGATGTTCAATATGATGGAAAAGCAGTTATATTTTAAGTTTTTGCCACCATTTCTGAACAAGCTTGCAATTAGGCAATATACACATCAAGCTTACTATATACCCTTACTATATATGGTGTGTGTATATATATATATATATATATATATACTGTATATAAACACACATATTATGTTAAAACGCTGTATATGACGGCGTTTGGCTGTAAACGCGATTCATTTATGGCGTAATTCTGAACCTCTTGGCTTGCCATACTAATCCTAACCACACGCACCCCACATCACTACTAAACCTACCAATGCGTTTCCTATGCATGTAATAACCAATTTTCGCGTATAAATTGCACGATAAACACACTGCGTGCTATAGAGACGCATTTAGTGTGACCGGGTTGATATATCTATGGCAACCAAACTTCACTGGTGAGACAAACGTGCGATGAACGGACGGTCAGGATGACGTTTTGGCAGGGGAAAACTGATCAGAAAATTTTACGAAAATGTAACAGAACGTTGTAGAAATGTAGTGGAGTAGAAAGTATAATAATTGCTGCAAAATAGAACGAAGTAAAAGTAAAAAGTATGCACTATTGATTCTACTTAAGTAAAGTACAGATACGTGAAAAATTTACTTAAGTAAAGTAACAAAGTATTTGTACTTCGTTACATTCCACCACTGCCAATCACAGCGCAGCCAAGAACGAGCTCCCACAGTGGTCCGACACTTTTTCACAGCGCTCCATTGACTTTAACACAGGCGTCTCATATTTTTGGTCTCGGCAGGCTATTACCGTCGTAGTTTTATCAAAAATATGGTTAAATGTTGTGCCTGGGGCATTTGTAACACAGATATGCGTTTCCCAGAGAGGTTGGAGGGGGGTGTGCGTTTTTTCCCCTTCCCAAAACCGAAGTCAAATCCTGACAAGTGTCGTCTAGCTGCACACGCTGCTAAGAAATACAACGTTATACTCGCGTAGTCCGTTTGCTTTGTAATAACGATTATAGAAGTGAATAGAGACCTACCCAGCTTTGCATGAACAGTGTTGCTCCTTGATATTTTTAGTCCCAGCCTCCGTCTCGATTAGTAGGATATGCGGTGGTTAATTTTTTGACTGTGACCGGTATGCTTTTGCCTCTATTTGGATGCCTTGTTGTTCCTTGCGTTTCACCTGTATGTCGTGAATATAGCCTTCGAACGTATTTTGCAGCCCATTTTGCCTACTTCTATCGGACACTTTATTTGCTGCTTTATAAAAGTTTGATAAAATTTCAGCAGGAAGAGCTGTCACAGCATAAGCCATGTTGATACCAGAGCCCAGATGAAGTTTGTTTGTCGGACATAGCAACATTAACTAAGGGGGGCGAGGCTTAGCCAAAGGCGAATTGCAGATTTCGAAAAGAGATCGCGACAAAGAGGAAAAACTGCGGACTGCAGCTTTAAGAAAAAGGCTTTTTTAAAATTATTAATGCAGGGTTTTGCCTCTCATTTTGGGCACTTTCTGCTCTGCAAAGTATCAACATGTATTTTAATTTAGAAATCTCAAACATGTTCATTATAGAAGTGATGTATTCACATCATGGTTTGTATGAACTGCATTTTTACATAATGTAGGCTATGTTTAAACTAATTAATAGATTTAAGCAACAAAAAACTATATATATATATATATATATATGAATGTTATTGCATTATAACAAAATATCAAACCAAGAGGCATTTGTTAAAAATAAAATAGGACAAGCAAAACAGTTCACAAACATTTGAAAAATGTACATTTAAATGATTAGAAAAACACATACAATTCACAATAAACCCAAAAAATACTTACTAATATGATGAATGACAGAATGGTTACTTCACACATCCACTAAAAACACTTTGACCCAGGTTGGCTTAGAGAAGTTAGTTTTGAGAAAAGCTCTTACATCATTTATTTGCAGTTGCCACTTGCTTTGTCATTTTGTACCTTCAATATAATGGACATTCAGACATTTTTAAGTGTGACTAAGGTGTCTAAATACTCTTTGGAGGTCACTACACAAGTTGATTTTATTATAAAACCAGTCCTGACTCCTGTCTGTCTTATGGTTTTGCTATCTGTAAAGCTAGTATATAACTGATATCAAACATGAACACATGCTTTTCAGAAAAAAGGGTATGAAACTTCAGCAGACTAGAAGAGAAGGTGCTACAAGAAACATTTCGACCAGTGATGTGAGTTACAAATGACACAAAAAAAAAATAAGTTTTATGCAAACGTAAATACACTGTTTACCAGCCTAATAAAGTACACAAACTGCTGAACAATTTACACAGTAGAGCTTTCAATCACTGATTCAACCCTGTCAATGTTTTAGGCCGTTCCACATGAGGATGAAGCGGAGTCTGTTTATGCCAATGGTTTCGCGATGTCTTCTGCTGGAACTGCCACAGAAAATCCCGAATCCTTAATTTACTCCTCCATTGACTTTACTGCTGAGTCACGAGAGTTCGGGAGTGCCTCCTCACTTCATGCTGACTACACTTTGGTCCAACATTGTTCTGTAGGAATGGCAAATGCAGAGAGCTCAATAGTTGAGTCTTCAGGAGCAGTAGAGGCAATAGAGGTGATTGTGAGAGCAGATGTGGTTACTAAACAAACCGAGTCAAAGGAATCCGAGAAAGAGCTGTTAGCAGACTCATCTCAGCTTTACGCAGTGGTTAAACATCATAACCCATAGAGAACTGGAGATTTTGCCATTTGTTTTCTCCTAAATATTTCTGATATATGTTAACAATATACATAAAAAAAAAAAAAAATCTAACATGACACAACTTTAGATGTTGCTGATGGGTTGTGAAATGTGGTTAAAAACAAAAAAGCGAACGGATGACTGTTAAAGCCAGTGGAGGGTGACTTCTGGAGGGACACAAAGATAAAAAAGAGCACAGTAAAAGTTGTTCGAATAGTTCTTATACAGCTTTTTCATTTATTGTATTCAGTAAATATTCTCCCCAATTTTTCCATTATTTTATGTTTTTAAATAGTTAAACCATGGTATTATTTGAAGTGCCTTGGAGTTGCCATGGAAATAGGAATGTGATACATTCTATTCTATTATATCTATGATTCTGCTTTCGAGGCAGCAAGTTAATAGTCCGGATAAAAGCCACTTCTGAATTAATGAGTAACATAATCGGTCTTAGATTTTCATTCAGCCCTTTTGAGGCTACACATCACTGATGTTGGCCAGGAAGGAATTGAGTTTATCTCAGATTGAACATATTTGAAAACTGATACTGATGACTTTTTAAAAATTATTTACATTCATTTTACATTCCCAGAAGAAAGTGGACTTCTATATACACAAAATAAAGAAAACAAAGGATCTATGAATTTCGTTCATTGTTTTCATATATATTTGTATAGATTGTCAATCGTTTTACATTTCCTAAGCCTTTTGACTTTCTTTGTTGTGTCTTCAATATTGCCAATTAAAGCTTCAAATGGTTCTCTAATCTTCACAAATGCATAATAGGATCTTAGGGTTTCTAAAGGGATAGTTCTCCCAAAAATTCTGTCCATAACTTCTCACCTTCATGTCGTTTTATGATGTCTTTACTACCTTTCTGGGGCTTGAAAGTGGTAGTTGCATAGGCTGTTAAATGATGGACAGAAATCTCTCAGATTTCATTAAAAAGATCTTCATTTGTGTTACAAAGAAAGACCGAAATTCTTACGGGTTTGGGATGACATGAAGATGAGCAATTAATGACAGAATTTTCATTTTTGGGTGAACTATTCCTTTAAGAGCAACGTGTGTAGCGGAGTGTGTATCAACCATACATTTTGTTATCTTTTCTTTGTTTTTGCTCATTTATTCATTTATAATCATACTGTATAATCATTTAATTATTCAATTTAATCATATAATCATATGTATCATTTAACAATGTAATTAATTTTATTGTATTACTTTTTATTTGACTTATTTGACTTGCTCTTAGTGGTTGTTACTGTTGTTTAATTTTAGGATTTTGTGGTTTCTTGTAGTTGCTTTTGAATTGGTAAAATAACACTTGTTGAACTTGTGCTGGGTAGACAAAGTAGGAATGAAGTTCGAAGTCCTGAGCATTGAAACATAGGCCTAAGCAAAGATTATTCAATAAACTCTGCTCTTTTTCAGCAATACTTCGTCTCCTGCTGTCTGCTATTTCACGGCTTCCTCTGTCTGTCTTTTTGGCTGATCTGATGAAGAGAGTTATAATGTCAGAATTGTGAGATATAAACTCGCAATTGCGAGTTTTGAAGACAGAATTGCGTGACATAAACTTGCAATTCTGATTTTTTTTTCATCCCTATGCCCTACTCACCCCGAAGGGCAGAACATGACCATAAATAATTAAATTACTTCCTTGAAGTGACCATTGCATGTTCCCTTTGCTAATGAACCGGTGGAAGGGCCCTTCGTGAAGGGATTCAGTTGTTCACTTTCGTTTGGAATGCTCCTACAAATGGCGTCCCCTTCCTGAAGTTCCCTTCAAGGGTGCAAAAAAGCTGTTTGGAATTCGCTGTATATTACATAAAATAAACTCACAATTGCGAGTAATAATGTCTAAGAAAAATAGTCTGACTTGCGAGTTTATATCTCACAATTCTGACATTTTAACTCACAATTGTGAGTTTATATCTGAGAAAAAAAAGTTGCAATACCTTTTTTCTTTTTTTATTCTCTGGCCGAAACAAGCTTCCATACTCATGGTCTTATAACGTCCCTTGGCAAATAAACATGATCCTGACTACATTTTTTTTCTGCTTTCTTTTATGATGTTATTGAGGAGAATACAGACACAGCTTTGTGTGACATTAACACAAAATGAAGTATTGTGAGGACCTAAACTGAGTCAAAGAAAGACCAGGAGCAGGTCGACACACACTAAAATTCGACCAAAGTGGGCAGATGTTGAATATAGCTTGTTGAACAGGTGTGTACTGGAAAAATCAAACCTGAACAGAACGGAACAGAGGCTTGTTTGGTGTAATTTAAAAACACAAGAATATTTTTTCTCTGTAATTCTTGTTTTAAAAGAATATGCTTATTATTTGTATACTTTGTGACATAGCCCCAAAGTCAAGAGAGGTTTAGGCTGCCACAAAACACAACCACAAGAGAGGTGGGAACAGGGTTAACAGAAAGTGTCTTTTAGTTATCCAAGAACAGGATGGCCAAAAGGAATCTAAACTAGAATTTAGGTTCTTCCCATTCTGGGGTGTCCGTGACAGCTTTGTTCCACCCATCTGCTTGAACACTATAGGCCACCTTGAAGGCGAAAACAGATCAAAAGAAAGGCAAAGTTGGTAAAGCAGAGGTTACAAGTTTAACCATGTCTTTTTCTCTTCAGCCGGTCTCACTCTAGGTCTCCCTGTGCTTCCGCACCTCCTGGGGGTGTCTGCATCCAGAACCATTCAACCCTGAGTGAAGCAAAGTTCCCAGATTTATAGTGACCTCCATTGTAGTAGAATTCTCTCCCCAGCAGGTAATATGGCAGTTTTGTTCAGGGCCCACCTAATGGCCAAAAAATCTTTCTCCACGGTAGAATAATTACGTTTGTGTTTGAGTAACTTATATGGCTGATGAAAGTAATAGGATGTTTTTCATTTCTCAACTTTGAGAGGTCTGTGCCCAGTTTCATAAAGCACCTTAAGTGTAATTTTCTCTTACGTTCGCCCTTATGTTTCCCTTAAACCTAAGGGTGTTGCAGAAAAAAACCCTGAAGTGTTACTTCAGGGTTTCTTTAAGTGAAACGTCATAAACACTTAGAATGTCCCTTAAATGCTGTTTTTTTCACTTAAGTAATCCGTTAAGTGTTGCATAAAACCCCTTAATGGTCATTTTCCTAAGTATAATTTAAGGTTTGGAAATCGTAACCTTAAGAGTAACGTGGACAAAATCCAGGATCGGTGTCATGAAACACTTAAACGTTTCCCTTACCTAAGAGAACTGTTTAAGAGATTATATGCAACACCCTTAAGTTATTCTCTTAGGTAAGGAGAAATCGCCCCTTAAGTATCATACTTAAGGGAAAAACTTAAGGTGCTTTATGCAACCGGGCATTGCTCCTATTCCCGTTTTGGAGGCATCCAAACAACTCAATAATGTTCAAGTCTAACATCTTTTTTACTTCTTCATGGATTGCTTCTCTTTGGTCCTCTGGGATGCGATAGGGCTTTTCTGATAAGGGCCCCACTCTCTGATTCATGGCCTGAGGGTGCTGCAAAAGCCTGGAGGGGCTGGGGTTTCTTGACGCTTGGCTTTACTTGACTTTTAGGCCTTCCAGGGGGGTTTCGGTTGATTAGAGGCCAGTAACACTCATCCACTGAGCAGTCCCTACCTACCAGGGCTACCAGGGCTGATACTGACCAACATTGGATTGCAACAACTTAATAATAATAATAATTCGTTACATTTATATAGCGCTTTTCTGTGTACTCAAAGCGCTTTACATTGAAGGGGGAATCTCCTCAACCACCACCAATGTGCAGCATCCACCTGGATGATGCGACGGCAGCCATAGTGCGCCAGAACGCCCACCACACACCAGCTTATTGGTGGAGAGGAGACAGAGTTATGAAGCCAATCAGTATATGGGGATGATTAGGAGGCCATGATGGACAGAGGCCAATGGGCAAATTTGGCCAGGATGCCGGGGTTACACCCCTACTCTTTTTTCGAAGAACATCCTGGGATTTTTAATGACCACAGAGAGTCAGGACCCCGGTTTTAACGTCTCATCCGAAGGACGGTGCTCTTTTGACAGTATTGTGTCCCCGTCACTATACTGGGGCGTTAGGACCCACACAGACCACAGGGTGAGCACCCCCTGCTGGCCTCACTAACACCTCTTCCAGCAGCAACCTGGTTTTCTCAGAAGGTCTCCCATCCAGGTACTAACCAGGCTCAGCCCTGCTTAGCTTCAGTGGGCAACCAGTCTTGGGCTACAGGGTGATATGGCTGCTGGCTGTAATACTTATGTAATACATTTGTTTTTTTAATTTTTCTTTTAGACAGTCTGCAGTCATCAAGTACTTACTGTATTCGCTTCATTTTCACTCAATCCAGTCGCATTGACACAGGCTGTACAAGAACTGCTACCAATATTTGATGTTTAAAGGAGAAATTTGGGTTAAGTTAAGCTCATAATGTTGATTACTACCAGAAGAAAAAGAAAAAAAGAAAATAATTCATGCTTGTGTCTCTTTTTCTTAAAAAGGGGGTGAAAAGCAAAAACCTGGATCCCATGCTAATTTACTGTAAACTGATTCACATAAACTCAACGCATGTCATTTTCAACACTCCACATCATAAGAGAATACATGAACAGTTTGTGACACAGGTGTTTGTAATGAGCTGCCTCAGTACTGAGCTCTGATTAAAGCAGTTTCTTCTCAAGTAATTTGCAACTTTCTATCATCTCTAACATGGAAATATGATTGATTGCCTGGCAACCATCTCTGTCATCTCCAGCTGCATCACTCATCATCCAATCATAATGCACATTGTTTCATTCATATTCAATGTGCACAAAAATTGCCTGGTTTCAGTTTTTCAAAGCTTTAAAACTAAACATAAATACTGAACAATGCATGTCATAACGTGTATCAAGAAAAGTGGTTGATGATGATTCCGCGCCGCTGCCCCCTTCGGGTGTGGTAGCGGTGCCCGAGTCGGACCCGGAGATGATGGCCATGCTTTCCCGGGCCGCCAACAGGATCGGGCTCATGTGGAACACTTGAC